TAATCAAATTCATGCATATACAGAAGAGAGAGAGAGAGAGAGAGAGAGAGAGAGAGAGAGAGAGAGAGAGAGAGAGAGAGAGAGAGAGAGAGAGAGAGAGAGAGAGAGAGAGAGAGAGAGAGAGAGAGAGAGAGAGAGAGAGAGAGAGAGAGAGAGAGAGAGAGAGAGAAAGAGAAAAAGAGAAAGAAAGAAAGATACAGAAAGCGAAAAAAATATGAGAAAGAGAAAGATAGATAGAGAGAGAGAGAGAGATAGATAGAGAGAGAGAGAGAGAGAGAGAGAGAGAGAGAGAGAGAGAGAAGTAGAAAGAGAGAAAAAGAGAAAAACAGAAAGATACAGAAAGCGAAAAAAAAAATGAGAAAGCGAAAGTTAGAGACAAAAAAGAAAGAGAGAGAGAAACAGACTAAGCATCCAGAGACTGTCCCCCTCTGCTCTACACAACCTGAGTTTTCTTTTTAGAATATTTCCCAAGACTTTTGCCAAGTGCCTCCTCTTTATTACTTACTTGTTTACCTTTTGTTTGTGTTCTCTCCCTTACGGTACGAGGAAATTTTTTGTTCTTGTGTCATGCTATTTTAAGAACGTATTGTGTACACCAGAAATCCTGAATAATTTAAACTCTTTTCCTGAATAATATTTTAAAGACTAATGGGTATATATAATTTTTTTATCACTAGATGTAATATTCGTTATGTTTGTTATTCTTGTCGTTTTTTACTTATAATTAGTATTGTTCATTGCTACTATTTTTACTATTGTTATCATTATTATGATTATTATTATAAATGTTATTATTATTATTATCACTATTATTATTATTATCATAATTTTTCTTCTTACTGTTATCATTATTTTACTCTTGATTTCATTATTATCATCATCATCATTATCATCATCATCATCATCATCATCATCATCATCATCATCATCATCATCCTTATTGTTGTTGTTATTGCTGTTATTATTTTTATCATCATCATAATCATTATTGTTATTCTTGTTGTCTTTTATTATTACCATTATCATTATCATCATATTGCCTGTGCAACTTCTAATACATTATTATTATTATCATCATTGTTGTTATTATTGTTGTTGTTATTGTTTTGCTGCTGTTGTTGATATTCTAGTATTATCATCATCATTATCATTATCATTCTTATTATTATTGTTATTATTATTATTATTACTGTTATTATTATTATCATTATTATTACCATTATTATTAGTATTATCATTATTATTATTATTATTATTATTATTATTATTATTATTATCATTATTATTATCATCATCATCATCATTATTATTATTATCAGTATCATTATTGTTGTTATTATCATTATTTTCATCATCATCATCATCACCATCATTGTTATTGTTGTTGTCTTTATTATTATCATTATTTTCATCATCATCTCCATTGTTATTATTGTTGTATTTATTATTATTATTATTATCATCGCTTTACCCGCGCAACTTCTAATACATTAGAAGCTTCGTCGTTGCTTAGTATTTTTCCACATATCCAGGAACATTTCATTTCATTCTCTCTTGAATCGTAAATAGCTTTTTAAATCCTGCAGACTAAATTCACCTTAAATCAGATATGACTGCAATTGGCTTTTGACGCTGTCGACTGATTTTAACACACAGCAACCTCTTAACACCAACCTTAATCAGATTAAATTCACTTTCAATCATTATTGTAATTGCAGATATTTAAAGTTGAGAAAGACATTTCAGTGCTATGATCTAAGCGCAAATTTACGTCCTTTACATTCCAATACTAAAGAAAATGTGTTGTTTACATGCTATTCAGTGCAGCCTCGTTTTCTCAACATGTGGTTGTTCCCGAAAGTCTTCTAATCGACGGTACATTTTTGCAATTTTCTGAGTTACTTACTCTGACTATTGCGCGTATTTGCAGTATGAGAGCGTCAGTTGTTACTATCAATATATCTGCAGCATGTTACGTTCTGTTTTGTTCTTATCGTGTCTGTAATATTATTGTTACACTTATTGTTGCAAATTTGGTTGTCATTGTTATCATCATTTTTGCTTTAATATTATTGATATCATTATCTTATTATTATTGGTAATATTATTAACAGTGCCATTATCTTATTACTATTATTGTTCTGTTGTACTTGATCATGATTCTAATTTTGATGATGTTTATGATATTGATAATACTGTTAATAATAATTATAATAATAATAATAATAATGATAATAATAATAATGATGATGATAATAATAATAATAATAATAATAATAATAATAATAATAATAATAATGACAGTAATAATAATGATAATGATAATAATAATAATTCTTACTGTCCTTATTATTGTTATTATTATAATCCTTATTATTATTATCACTATTATTACTGTTGTTGTTGTAATAATATTATTAACGATAATAATAATTATTATTATTATTATCATTATTATTACTAATGTTATTATAATTATTACTGTCATTCTTACTGTTGTTATTAACAACAATTATTATCCTTGTTATTACTTATTTATTTATTATTATCATTATTATTGCTATTATTGCTGCCATTACTGTTGCTGTTGATCTAGTTCTTGTTATTCTTGTTATCATCCTCATTATTATTACTGACATTATCATAACCATTATCATTATCAATTATCATTGCTATTATTATATTATTGTTATTCTTATTAACATTGTCATTATTGTCTTGTCATTGTTATTAACATTGTCATTATTGTCTTGTCATTATTATTATCATTATTATTATTATTATTATTAATATTATTATTATTATCATTATTATTATTATTACTATTATCATCATCATCATCATTGTTATTATCAATATTATTAGTATTACTATCAGTGTTGTTAATATTATTGTTATTGATATTATTATTATTATAGTTATCGTTATCATTATTTTTTGTATTTATTTTTGTTCATTTTTATTTTTATTTCCATTTTTATTATTATTATTATTATTAATATCATCATTATTATTATTATCATTATTATTATTATTACTGTTATTATTATTATTATTATGATTATTATGATTATTATTATTATTATTATTATTATCATTAATATTAGTAGTAACAGTCGTAAAAAAAGGACACAGCGTTGTGCGAAATTGCATATATTAGTCCATGACGTTGTAAAAATACGCAGTCATTATTGGTGCTCGTCTGTACGACCAGTTTCGGAGCACGGAACCGAAACTCCTCCCTAAACATGACCTGTCGACGTAAATATGAACCACTTAGCCTTCCCAGGAGCCGAGTATGAGGGTGGTCACCTGTGAGAAATACTGCACTTTGCCTAATTCAGGATTTTTGTTTACTGTTGAAGCAAAACGAAACATATCGTGACACTTTGAGATGTTCATATAGTGTCCCTTTTTTTTAGATAGGTTAGTGTTGTTCTGTTATTATGCTATCCTTACAAACCAGATGAAATAGAATGGTAGTTATCCGATGCTGCAACCTGCGCTACAAAAATCAAAACCATAAAAAATCTAAACCACATGTATTCTAGCAAGTTAAAACCCATCTGGAAGTTCAAAAGATACGTCCTCGCATCGTTGACTGATTATTATAACAACGTTATATCCCAACGGTGCAACTTTCTATCTGAGAGTTCACTGAATTGCCTCATGACAATGTACTTTTACAAGGTTGTGAGGACCCAAGTGCAACACTGTCACAACGCTGCCATAACTTACATTTGTTAAGTGAGGCATCAGCAGTAATTGTTGTTAGCTGTAGTGATAGTGTTATTATTTTTTATTGTTAGTAGTGTCAATATTATTGTTGTTGTTGTTATTATCATCAATATTATTGAATGAGGAAAACACTCTACCGTGTTGATATTATGGTAGAAAAACCCACAATGTAAAAAATAGATTTATTGAAAATGAAAGTGAGACGACAGTTTCGGAATCCACCTGGATTCCATCCTCAGGTCTGAGGATGGAATCCAGGTGGATTCCGAAACTGTCGTCTCACTTTCATTTTCAATAAATCTAGTTTTTACATTGTGGGTTTTTCTACCATCAATATTATTATAATTGTTATTTTTATTATCAGTAGTGTTGCTGTTTTTATTGTTGGTGCTGCTGTTACTATTATCGCCATTACTGTTGTTATTGTTATTAATACTAATACTACTACTATTTCTACTACTATTATTACTTTACTATTATTGTTATTACTACAATTACTATTACTATTGTTGTTATTACTGCAATTACTATTACCATTATCATTATTATTATTACTGTTATTTTTGTTACTATTATTATTATCATTATTATTATCATTATTAATGTTATTGTTATTATCATTTTTATTAGTTATTATTATTAATATTGTGATTGTTATTAATATTATTACTTATTATTATTATCCTTATTATTATAATTATCGATTATCATTATGATTATCATTATTATTATTATTATTATTATTATTATTTTTATTATCACTATTATTGTTATCATTATTATTAAATTATTTTTACTATTATTGTTCTTGTTTTAATTATTATTATTATCATTATTATTATTATTATTATTATTAACATTATTATTATAATTGTTATTATCATTGTTGTTATTATTATTACTATTAATATTACTCAATATTATTTTTATTACTATTATTATCATTATTATCATTATTACTGTTATTATTAATAGTAGTATTAGTAGTAGTTGTAGTACTATTATTACTATAATTTTACTGTAATACTATTATTACCACTCTTACTATGACTATTACAATTACTATTACAATTATTAATGAATGAATAAATAATTATTACTGTACTATCGTTATTATTATTATTGTTGTTTTATTATTATTATTATTATTATTATCATCATCATCATCATTACTATTATTGTAGTTATTATTATAATCATTGTTGCTATTATTATTATTATCTATCACAAATCCATCCAAACTGACGCGATGATGTTTGCAGTTGCAGGTCGGAAGCGGAGACCGAAAGCATCACGAACCCGAGTACGAAGAAGTTGGTCCCCCCACTGGCTTGAGGAAGAACACAGGTAGGGGAAAGTTTATTTGTGTGTTTATTTTAGTATGTTTGATTTTTTCTTGATTTTTTTTTTTTTTTTTTTTTTGGGGGGGGGGGAGGGGGGAGAGGTCTTGGTTATTGTTATTTTTTATTATTATTCTTTTATTTATTTTTTGTTTATTCTTTGATTATACGTTTATTTTATTTAGTTGTTTATTTATTTTCAGCTATTGGTGGTCGTGTTGTTGTCTTAGGGGGATTTTTTTTCCTTTGTTTGAGGTGGGAGTTTTTTTTTTCATTCCTTCTTTCTTTTTCTTTCTTTCTTTCTTTTTTGGGGAAAGATGGGTTTGGTGATGAACGTAATTCGTTATGACAGATATAGAAAATTACATGTGACTGTGATGAAGATATCGAGATTAGTTTTTTCATCGGAAGTTATTCATTTTCACTCATTTTTTTGACAAAGTAAAGCATTGATGAATGGGAAGGGTTGCAGGCTGATAATGATTAGATAGAAATGTCGTGGAAAGCGGGGTAGTAGCTATTATTATATCCCTTACTTTCTCTCTCTGCTTATTTACACACTGACACTCACATATAAGCAAACACATACACAAACATAAGCACACGCACACACGCGCACACACACACACACGCGCGCACACGCACACACACGCGCGCACACGCACACACGCGCACACACGCACACCCACACACCCACACACACACACACACACACATACACACACACACATACACACACATACACACATACACACACATACACACACACACACACACACACACACACACACACACATACGCACACACACACACACATATATATACTGATTAACAAACACTTGCTAAAACACACCCAGAAACGCCCATCCACGTACGTTCACTTATTTTTATGATTTGGTAGTCTGTTCCTAAATACCTCGACGCCCCATTGGTATCCGAAACGGTATCAGGGTACAGGAGAGGGGGGGGGTGAAGTAAGACATGAAGGGGGCTTGCAAGAGGCGGGCGATGAACTCAAGGAAAGATGACGGCTGTGTTTCGAATAAATGTAGGTATAGGTATAGACTGACCGATGTAGATATTGATGTAGATAGACAGATATATATAGATATAGATATATATAGATATAAATATATATAGATATAGATATATATATAGATACAGATATATATAGATATAGATATGAATATATATAGATATATAGGTATAGAGAGACATATAGATGTAAGAATAGGTAGATATAGATATAGGTATACATAGACAAATATAAATTTAGATATAGGCATAGATAGACAGATATAGATATAAATGTCAATATAGAGACAGGTTTTAACATGTTTATGTTTAAAATGTTGATAGGTATATGTATAAAGATGATCTGGTCGGTTCTTCGTATATTTAAAAGTGAGGCCGGAAAAAAATATGCATTCATTTTATAGGGAGGGCCATGTTTCTTTTTTTTATAAATATATAATACTATTATATAGAGTGACATGCATACGAAACGACTGGAGAAACTGACGAGAGTGAACTTTGTTTCTTTTATTTGTTATATTATCTCAAATTGGGAAAGATTCACCTCCCCGCAAAGTCTCTCCATGTACACTGATCAGATGTTGATATAAAACTGGGATCGGAACACGTTGGCGCTCTCACCCTGCAACGCCCTGCAACGCCCATTTCGCTCCGTTCTCTCCCTTCTTCGGTAGCATGTTATATCATCAGCGTGACGTTCTGTTGAGGGGGAGTTGCCATTCATGAGGCGGCTGCACGCTAGCTTCCTCACATTTCTTATTTCCTACTCTCTTCGCTTTCTTTTCTTCTTTTCCCCTCTTCGTCCTCATTCGGGTGTCCCCCCTTCTTCTCTTCCTACTCTCTTCCCTCTTCTTCTCTTCCTCTTCTCCCCCTTTAAATGCCCCCCTTTACTCTTCCTACTCCCCTTCCCCCTTTTCCTTTCCCCTTACGGATACCCCCCCTTCCCCCTTGTTCTCTTCCCCGCTTCGTCCCCTTCGCTAATGGGTACTTTCTTGCCCTTTTTGGTCCCATTCGCTCTATTTTCGGCACATTCTCTTTGATAGCATTTTTTAAAGGACCTCGTCACTCTCTCCCGTAAAAGCTGTGTTTAAAGAGAATGGGAATTCGCTTACAGTAATTTTCACACTCGGCTTTCCCCTGTTTACTTTATCGCCATTTAGCGTCTATGTCGGTGACAATACCTGATATATATATATATATATATATATATATATATATATATATATATATATATATATATATATATATATATATATGTATATATATATATATATATATATATATATATATATATATATATATATATATATATATATATATATATATATATATACAGTGCCCGCCAAAAAAAGTTTACATTGACATTTGGAGGAGCATAAAACGGGAA